TGTTTGTTTGAGATGGAGTCTCACTTTGTCACACAGGCTGGAGTGCAGTGGTGTGATCTTGGCTCACTGCAACCTCTGCCTCCTGGGTTCAAGCGATTCTCCTGCCTCAGCCTCCCGAGTAGCTGGATTACAGGTGCACACCACCACACCCAGCTAATTTTTATATTTTTAGTAGAGAGGAAGTTTCACCATGTTGGCTGGGATTATCTTGATCTCTTGACCTTGTGATCCACGTGTCTCGGCCTCCCAAAGTGTTGGGATTACAGGCACGAGTCACCTTGCCCAGCCTGTATTTTTTTTCTTTTTAGTAGAGATGAGGTTACTCCATGTTGGCCAGGCTGGTCTCAAACTCCCAACCTCAGGTGATCTGCACACCTTGGTCTCCCAAAGTGCTGGGATTACAGGCATGAGCTACCTCACCCAGCTGAGAGTTTCAAATGGTACAGGTGGAAATTTCAAGGCTCCCCACATCCTGGAGACAGTGAATTATGATCACAGCACTGCACTCCAGCCTGGGCAACAGAACGAGACCCTGCCTCTAAAAAACAAAAATTAAAAAGAGGCTAGGTGCAGTGGCTCATGCCTGTGATCCCAGCACTTTGGGAGGCCAAGGCGGGCAGATCACTTGAGGTCAGGAGTTCCAGACCTGCCTGGCCAACATGGTGAAACCCCCTCTCTACAAAAAAATACAAAAATTAGCCAGGCATGCTGGCTCACGCCTGTAATCCCAGCTACTTGTGAGGCTGAGGCAGGAGAATCGCTTGAACCCAGGAGGTAGAGGTTGCAGTGAGCTGAGATCGCACCACAGCACTCCAGCCTGGGTGACTTGGTCTCAAAAAATATAAAATAAAAAGAGAAACATGAAGAGCTCAGAGGAGGGAGAGGGCGGAGGAGGTAGTCTAGGTGGTCTGCAGTGCCTTCATCTCCAACACTCTCCACACCTCCTCTCCTGACTCTCCTTGAGGCTGGCCTCTGCCGTGAGGTTCCAGTCCCAGCTCCCCCTTGAATGCTGTGTGACCCAGGAAGAGACCTGGCCCTCTCTGAGCCCTGAGCTGCATGCAATGGACAGGTCTCATGAGCTCTAAATTCCAAGTATGGATGTGAGATCCAAACACACCTCCCTCTTCTGCTGTCCTTCTCATCAATATGCACAGCAAAAGCAATTAGTTACTGAGTGCCTCTGGTGTGCTGGGCTCTACCAAAAGCAAGATGGGAAGACAGGAAAATGCTTCTCTGTCTTAGTCCGTTTTCACACTGCTAATAAAGACATACCTTTATGTCTGGGCAATTTACAAAAGAGAGAGGTCAGCCGGGCATGGTGGCTCACGCCTATAATCCAAGCACTTTGGAGGCCACGGCAGGCCGATCACCTGAGGTCTGGAGTTCAAGACCAGCCTGACCAACATGGTGAAACCCCATCTCTTAAAAAAAAAAAAGAGGGCCGGGCGTGGTGGCTCACGCTTATAATCCCAGCAGGCGGGTGGATCACGAGGTCAAGAGATCGAGACCATCCTGGTCAACAAGGTGAAACCCCATCTCTACTAAAAATACAAAAATTAGCTGGGCATGGTGGTGTGTGCCTGTAGTCCCAGCTACTCGGGAGGCTGAGGCAGGAGAATTGCCTGAACCCAGAAGGCAGAGGTTGCGGTGAGCCAAGATCACACCATTGCACTCCAGTCTGGGTAGCAACAGCAAAACTCCATCTCAAAAAAAAAAAAAAAAGAGGTTTAATGGACTTACAGCTCCACATGGCTGGAGAGGCCTCGCAATCATGGTGGAAGGCAAGGAGAAGCAAGTCACATCTTATGTGGGTGGCAGCAGGCAAAGAGAGAGAACGTGTGCAGGCAAACTCCCATTTTTATTTTTATTTTATTTATTTTACTTTCTTGATACAGAATCTCTCTCTGTCCCGAGGCTGGAGTACAATGGTGTGATCTTGGCTCACCATAACCTTCGCCTCCCAGGTTCAAGCGATTCTCCTGCCTTAGCCTCCTGAGTAGCTGTGATTACAGGCATGCACCACCACGCCAGGCTAATTTTTGCATTTTTAGTAGAGACGGGGTTTCACCATGTTGGTCAGGCTGGTCTTGAACTCCTGACCTGGTGATTCGCCCGCCTTAGCCTCCCAGAGTGCTGGGATTACAGCCTGGCCAACATGGGGAAACCCCGCCTCTACTGAGAATGCAAAAATTAGCCAGGCATGGTGGTACACATCTGTAATCCCAGCTACTTGAGAGGCTGAGGCAAGAGAATTGTTTGAACCCAGGAGGCAGAGGTTGTAGTGAGCCGAGATTGAGCCACTGCACTCCAACCTGGTTGACAGGGTGAGACTTGGTCTCAAAAAAAAGAAAATGTTGTAGAATTAGATGGTTGCACACCTTATGAATATACTAAAAATCCACTGAATTGCATAGTTTAAAAGAACAAATTTTATAGTATGTGATTTATGTCTCAATTTTTTTTTTTTTTTTTTTTTTGAGACGGAGTTTCGCTCTTGTTACCCAGGCTGGAGTGCAATGGCGCGATCTCGGCTCACTGCAACCTCTGCCTCCTGGGTTCAGACAATTCTCCTGCCTCAGCCTCCCGAGTAGCTGGGATTACAGGCACGCGCCACCATGCCCAGCTAATTTTCGTATTTTTAGTAGAGACGGGGTTTCACCATGTTGACCAGGATGGTCTCGATCTCTTGACCTCGTGATCCACCCGCCTCAGCCTCCCAAAGTGTTGGGATTACAGGCTTGAGCCACCGCGCCCGGCCCTATGTCTCAATTTTAAAAATAGGGATGTTAAAAAACAAACAGCCCACAGCTCTTGGCACACCCTAAGTACTGAACACATTGTGGCTATTACCATTATAATACAGCACACAGAGACATGAAAGTGACATTCATTAATTTTATTAGGTATTTATTCATTTCACTGAATAATTAGCACTGACTATAATCCTCATAAAATCCTGTGAAGTAGGTACAATTGTGCTCCCCATTTTACGGATGGGGAAATAAAGGCTCAGAGAAGGTATGTTTCTTTCTCAGGGCCTCACAGTATGTAAATTACAATTGCACAAAAGTTGCAGCTTCTCAAAGAGCCTGGTCCTAGATTCTCTCCCTTAACTACAGTGCTATGAGACCACTTTACAGGGTGATTAAGAATTAGGCTGTATGTCATGGCTCACATCTGTAATCCCAGCACTTTGGGAGGCCAAGGTGGGTGGCTTGCCTGAGGTCAGGAGTTCGAGACCAGCCTGGCCAACATGGTGAAACCCCATCTCTACTAAAAATAGAGATTGGGATTTCACCATGTTGCCCAGGCTGGTCTGGAACTCCTGAGCTCAGGCAACCCACCCACCTCGGCTTCCCAAAGTGCTAGGATTACAGATCTGATCTACCGCACCTGGCCGATTTTTGTATTTTTAGTAGAGATGGGGTTTTGCTGTGTTGGCTGGGCTGGTCTCCTGACCTCAGGTCGTCCACCTGCCTCGGCCCCCAAAGTGCTGGGATTATAGCCACCATGCCCGGCCATCACCTGCAGTTTCATTCACTCATGTGTCTGGTGACTGTATGGGGAGGAATCCAACTACTGGAGCTCCTCTGGTGTCTCTCTCTATCTCAGTGTGGCCTCTACACATGGTTTCTCCAATGTGGTGGCTTCAAGCATAGCCAGTCTTCTTTTGTGGTGGCCTAGGGTCCCAACGTCTCATGCTATGAGACAGAGAAAGGTGGATGCCACAGTTCCTTTTATGACCTAACCTCAGAAGCCACACAGTATCATTTCTACTTCATGCTGTTTGTCAAAAGGGTGTTGTATCATCTTTCCTTGTCTGCAAGGGCAAGCTCAACTCATGACTTCCATGTCCACATTTCAGCCCACGGGAAGAGGAAAGGGAGCAAGCTTTCCTTCATTGGTTTCTGAAAGGACTGACCTGGAAGTAGTAGATGTCATTTACATTCTTATCTCATTGGCCAGAGCAGGTCACAAGGCCACAGTGAGTTGCAATGAAAGCTGGGAAATGTAGTCTTTCATTGGGTAAGCTGTGTGCCCAGCTCCAATTGAAGAGAGAGTATTTCTACAGGAAAAGGGGCTGGGCACAGTGGTTCATACCTGTAATCTCAACACTTTGGGAGGCCGTGGTGGGAGGATTGCTTGAGACAAGGAGTTTGAGACCAGCCTGGGCAACATATTTCTCTACGCAAAATAAAAAAAAATGAGCCAGGTGGGGTGGTGGGTGTCTGTAGTGCCAGCTACTCAGGAGGCTGAGGCAGAAGGATCCTCTGAGCTCAGCTATTTGAGGCTGCAATGAGCTTTGATCACACCGCTGCACTCCAGCCTGGCAGCAGACAAGACCCTGCCTCTGAAATAAATAAACACAAGAAATGAAAGAGAAGAAGGACAATATATATGGAAGTTTAGTCGATAATCTTTGCCACACTCATTGAATGAATGAATGAACTGATAACAGATTAAGGAATTGATCTCTGGCTGACCAGACATCAATTTCAGCTGATGGTCAAGATCAGCTGAAGTGGCCAGGCACAGTGGCCCACGCCTATAATCCCAGAACGTTGGGAGGCCAAGGCAGGCGGATCACCTGAGGTCAGGAGTTCAAGACCAGCCATGGCCAATGTGGTGAAACCCCGTCTCTACCAAAAATATAAAAAATTAGCCAGGTGTGGTGGTGGGCGCCTGTAATCCCAGCTACTTGGGAGGCTGAGGCAGGAGAATTGCTTCAACCTGGGAGGTGGAGGTTGCAGTGAGCTGAAATGGTGCCACTGCATTCCAGCCTGGGTGACAGAGGGATATTCCATATCTTACCAAAAAAAAAAAAAAAAAAAGATTGACTGAAAAGTTGACAGGTGAGTGATTGCCACATCCTGGGTTGGTGAATTGCTTGAAATGCAGTAAGTAACGGACTGGCTGGTGACTGAGGGTCTGGACAGAGGGACAGCCTCCTCTGCCTCCGCTATGTGACAAGCTCCTTCCTATGGCTCTCTCTGTTCCAGTTTACCAATGTCCCCTTCTTCATCTTCGGGCCGCTGATGATGTTCCTGATGCACCCCTATGCCCAGAGGCGCTCCCGCTACATCTACATTGTCTGGGTCCTCTTCATAGTCATAGGTAGGGAGGTGGGGTTCAGGTCTGTGACAGTGGGGAGGCAGTGGGGGTGCAGGAGGTGGCAGCCCCCACTGACCACCTGCCCTTGCCACTGCAGGCCTGTTCTCCATGTACTTCCACATGACACTCAGCTTCCTGGGCCAGCTGCTGGACGAGATCGCCATCCTGTGGTTCCTGGGCAGTGCCTATGGCATATGGATGCCCCGCTGCTACTTCCCATCCTTCCTGGGGGGCAACAGGTGGGTCAGGGCCTGGCCGTCTGCACAGGGTGGGGTCTGAGTCTTCCGTTGACTCTGCCTGAGCTCACCTGAGTCCCCTGGGTTCCCTCCCCTGAGCCCTTTTGGGACCCTTGGAATTCCTCCCCTGACCACTTCCAGTTTTCTCCTGACCCTGCCGGACTCATGTGGGCTTCTGGAGAGCCCTCCCCTGAGCTCACTGGTTTCTTGGACTCCCTCCTCTGATCCCACCTAGATGACCTGGGACGTTCTTGACACTGTTGGAGCCACCAGAAGTTCCAGGAACTCATGTCTGTGCTTACCTGGGCCCAAGGGGACTCGTCCCTGAGCCTCTCACCTGGGGTCCCTGGAAGCTTTCATCTGAACCTCTTAGACTCCCTGAGCCCCTCTCTTGATTCTTGATCTAACTGATCCCCACTCTTATTGACCCCTGTGAAAGCCTCTTATCCTTCTCCTTCTCCTTCTCCTTCGTTTTTTTTGAGACAGAATCTTGCTCTGTCACCCAGGCTGGAATGCAGTGGTGCGATCTCAGCTCACTGCAGCCTCTGCCTTTAGGATTCAAGTGATTCTCCTGCCTCAACCTCCTGAGTAGCTGGGATTACAGGCATGCACCACTATACCTGACTAATTTTTGTATTTTTAGTGCAGACAGTTTCACCAATGTTGGCCAGGCTGGTCTTGAACTTCTGACCTCAAGTGATCCTCCTGCCTTGGCCTCCCAAAGTGCTGGGATTACCAACATGTGAAATTCTCTTCAAACCAGGCTTAACCCATTTGAGCCCTCCAGGACCCCCCAGCCGATGGTTCTCTGGGACCCCTGTAATCTTTCGTTACTCCCTACTGGGTCCTGGAGAGACACTGTCCAACATCTCTTCAATTCACCTAGACCCAGGGATCCCTCCTCTCAGACCAGCTGGGCTCCCCTGTATTCCTTGCCTGACCTCATTCCCTGGAAACCATCACACTCTTCCCACCCTGCTGGGACCCTCTTCTCATCCTACTCAGTCCTCCTTCGGTTAAACCCTGCCTGGGCTCACCTAGGCTCCCTGAGACCTTCTGCCGAGTCCACCTGGGAACCTCAGGACCCTTTTCTTTATTTTCTTTCCTTCCTTCCTTCCTTCCTTTTTCTTTTCTTGAGATGAGGTCTGGAGTGCGGTGGCACAATCTTGGCCGTGGCAACCTCAAATTCCCAGGCTCAAACGATCCCTGCCTCAGTCTCCTTAGTAGCTGAGATTACAGGCACATGCCGCCACACCCAGCTAATTTTTTGTATTTTTGGTAGAGACGGGGTTTTACCATGTTGCCCAGGCTGGTCTTCAATGCCTGAGCACAAGTAATCCTCCTGCCTCAGCCTCCCAAAGTGCTGGGATTACAGGCATGTGCCTGGCTAGGACGCTTCTCTTTTTTGTGTTTTTAAAACAGAGTCTTACTCTGTCGCCCAGGCTGGAGTGCTGTGGCATGATCTCAGCCCACTGAAACTCCCAACTCCTGGGTTCAAGTGATTCTCATGCCTCAGCCTACTGAGTAGCTGGGATTATAGGCATTCACCACCATGCCTGGCTCAATTTTGTATTTTTAATAAAAATGGGGTTTCACCAGCAGGCGAGGTGGCTCATATCTGTAATCCCAGCACTTTGGGAGGCCAAAGGTGGGTGGATCACAGGGTCAGGAGTTCAGGACTAGCCTAGTCAAGATGGTGAAACATCATTTCTACTAAAAATATAAAACTTAGGCCGGGCGCGGTGGCTCACGCCTGTAATCCCAGCATTTTGGGAGGCCGAGGCAGGTGGATCATGAGGTCAAGAGATCGAGACCATCCTGGTCAACATGGCGAAACCCCGTCACTACTAAAAATACAAAAATTAGCTGGGCATGGTGGCACGTGCCTGTAATACCAGCTACTCAGGAGGCTGAGGCAGGAGAATTGCCTGAACCCAGGAGGCGGAGGTTGCGGTGAGCCGATATCGCGCCATTGCACTCCAGCCTGGGTAACAAGAGCGAAACCCTGACTCAAAAAAAAAAAAAAAAATTAGCCAAGTGTGACGGCGGTTGCCTGTAATCCCAGCTACTCAGTAGGCTGAAGCAGAGAATTGCTTAAACCCAAGAAGTGGAGGTTGTAGTGAGCTGAGATCATGCCACTGCACTCCAGCCTGGGTGACAGAGCCAGACTCTGTCTCAAAAAAAGAAAAAAGAAAAGAAAAATAGCATTTCTATTTTTGCCAGGCTGTTGGCCAGGCAAACATGTTGGCCAGGCTGGTCTTGAACTCCTGGCCTCAGTTGATCCGCCCGACTCAGCCTTCCAAAGTGCTGAGATTACAGACGTGAGCCACTGCGCCAGGCCTGGCTAGGACCCTTTTCTGAGCCTAACTGGGCTTCCTAGAATCCTCTCCTTTCCTTGCCCACCTGGGCCACGAGATCTGCAGGTGGCCCTGCCTACAACCGCAGGACCTCCCTTCCCGCCTGCAGCCGAGGCCCTTCCTCCGCAGGTCGCTGTTCATCTGCCTGGTCTTCATCACCACCGCGGTCAGCACCCTCCTGTCCTTCCTGCGGCCCACAGTCAACGCCTACGCCCTCAACAGCATTGGCCTGCACATTCTCTACATTGTGTGTCAGGAGTACAGGAAGTGAGTGAGGGCTGCAGGTGTCTGGGCAAGGGGCTCCCCTCCCCCTCCTAGCACCCCTGACTCCAGGCTTGCAGACGGGACATCCCTTCCCCAAGATCACCCACTAACAAATAGCAGGGCTGGGATTTGAACCTGACTGCTGATCTCGTCCTTTTTGTTTCTCTATTTGAGACGGAGTCTCGCTTTTTGTGCAGGCTGCAGTGCAGGGGCGTGATCTTGGCTCACTGCAGCCTCCACCTCCCGGACTCAAGCAGTCCTCCCACCCCAGCATCCCAAGTACCTGGGACTAGAGGTGTATGTCATCACACCAGGATAATTTTTGTATTTTTCTTTTCTTTTCTTTTTTTGAGACTGACTCTCACTGTCACCAGGCTGGAGTGCAGTGGCACGATCTTGACTCACTGAAAAACCTCTGCCTCCCAGGTTCAAGCGATTCTCCTGCCTCAGCCTCCGGAGTAGCTGGGACTACAGGCGTGTACTGTCACACCCAGCTAATTTTTGTATTTTTAGTAGAGACGGGGTTTCACCATGTTGGCCAGGATGGTCTCCACTTCCTAACCTGGTGATCCACCCACCTCGGCCTCCCAAAGTGCTGGGATTACAGGCATGAGCCATCACGCCCGGCAAATTTTTGTATTTTTCTTTGTAGAAACAGGGTTTCGACCGGGCGTGGTGGCTCACGCCTGTAATCCCAGCACTTTGGGAGGACAAGGCGGGCAGATCACGAGGTCAAGAGATTGAGACCATCCTGGTCAACATGGTGAAACCCCGTCTCTACTAAAAATACAAAAAAAATTAGCTGGGCATGGAGGCATGTGCCTGTAATCCCAGCTACCTGGGAGGCTGAGGCAGGAGAATTGCTTGAACCCGGGAGGCGGAGGTTGCAGTGAGCCAAGATCGTGCCACCGCACTCCAACCTGGCACCTGGCGACAGAGTGAGACTCGGCCTCAAAAAAAAAAGAAAAAGAAAAAAAAGAAAAGAAAAGAAACAGTTTCATCATGCTGCCCAAGCTGGTCTTGAACTCCTGGGCTCAAAGGATCCACCCACCCCAGCCTCCCAAACTGCTTGATTACAGGTGTGAGCCACCGCACCCGGCTGCATTTTGATGTTTAAACTGTTCCGCTTTAGGCTGCAAGCAAAGCCTGTGATTTTAACCATAAAGAACTCGTCTCATTCATCTCTGTTACACTCTTTCCCAAAAAACACTGGGTTAGCTCTGCTGTCAAGAAAAGACAGATGCTGGTCTTAAGTTGTACCAAGACACTGGCTCTGGAGAATGTCCCCCTTCCCATAACACACACACACACCCACCCACCCCACATGTCCTGTAGACAAACCGAAGTTTTCATGCCCTGACCCACAAGTGCACACATACCTCTACCCCAAAACATACAAACACCAAGGGGCCTGTTGGTTAAGAATAAAGATTATGTGATCAGACAAACTTAGTTTAGATTCCAGCTCTGCCACTTACCAGCGGGGTAACCATGGGGCACGGTGGGGCATATCATAATCACCTGTGCCTCAGTTTACTCATCTACAAAGTTCTTGTGGGGACTGAGTTGGTATCTGAAGGTGTTTTATTATTTATTTATTTAATTAATTTGTGTTTGTTTTGAAATGGAGTCTCACTCTGTCCCCCAGGCTGGAGTGCAGTGGTGTGATCTCGGCTCACTGCCACCACCGCCTCCTGCATTCAAGCGATTCTCTTGCCTCAGCCTTCCAAGTAGCTGGGATTACAGGTGCCCACCACTATGCCCAGCTAATTTTGTTTTTGTTTTGTTTTGTTTTGTATTTTTAGTAGAGATGGGGTTTCATTATGTTGGCCAGGCTGGTCTTGAACTTCTGGCCTGAAGTGACCCAACTTGGCCTCCCAAAGTGCTGGGGTTACAGGTGTGATCCACCTCGCCCAGCCTATTATTGTTTTTTAAGACAAGGTCTTATTCTGTCACCCAGGCTGGAGTGCACTGGTGCAATCAGGGCCCACTGCATTCTTGCACTCCTGGGCTCAAGTGATCCTCCTGCCTCAGCCCCCCAAGTAGCTGGAATTGCAGGCTTGTGCCATCATGCCTGGCTAATTTTAACTTTTTTTGTAGAGATAGGGTCTTGCTGTTTTGCCCAGGTTGGTCTTGAACTCCAGAGCTCCAGCATTTCTCCCAACCTCAGCCTCCCAAAATACTGGGATTATAGGCATGAGCCACTGTGCCTGGCTTGAAGGACATTTGGAACTGCACCTGGTGTCCTGGAAATGCTCAGTGTTAGTTTTAAGCATGAGATTGGGCCCCCTCTGCTTGCAGCCTCCACTGCTGCTCTTTCCCTTCTTCCAGCCTCTGAGGCTCATCACTGTGGAAGAAGGAATTTCCCATCAGCCCCCTCAGGTGCTGCTCTCAGAGCCAGCCCTTGGTCCCCCTCTCCCTTCTCTAGGACCAGCAATAAGGAGCTTCGGCACTTGATTGGGGTCTGCGTGGTTTTGTGGGCTGGTGCTCTGACCAGCTGGATCAGTGACCGTCTGCATTGCAGCTTCTGGCAGAGGATTCATTTCTTCTATCTGCACAGCATCTGGTAAGCACCTGCTCTGATGCTGGAGGGAAGAGGAGCATTCACAGTCAGAGAATCTTAGATGCCAGAGCTCAGAGCAGGAGCCTGGGGGCTGGGGATGGAGGAGCAGAGAGAAGGAGTGCCAGATACAGGAACCTGGCAGTAGGGGATGGCTTTAGTCAGGGCCCAGACCCAGAAGGTCTCTTTGGATGGTCAAGATCCATGAGAAAGAGAGGGCCAGAGTGAGGCTATGGGCATCTTGTGCCCTCATCCCCTTCGCTCTGCACTCCACAGGCACGTGCTCATCAGCATCACCTTCCCATATGGCATGGTCACCATGGCCTTGGTGGACGCCAACTATGAGATGCCAGGTGAAACCCTCAAAGTCCGCTACTGGCCTCGGGACAGTTGGCCTGTGGGGCTGCCCTATGTAGAAATCCGGGGTGATGACAAGAACTGTTGAGAACTGCCAGCCTCTTGACTATCCAGCCACCCAGGACTTGCCTGTGTCTTGAGAAGAGAGCCCCTATCAGGACGTGCACCTGAGAGACACTCATGGCTCCTTCCTCCCTTTCCCCTTCCATGTCCTCCTGGTCCTTCGCTGCCCTGCCTTGAGGCAGAGGCTGGACTTTGTGACATCTCTGAGCAGCAGCCTGGTGACCATGGGGCTGTCTCGTGCATCTCCCCTCCATGACCTGCCCCTGCCCTCTTTCATTTCCTTCCCTGTGTCCACAGCCTCCCAGTGACCATTTCACATGAGCTGGTGGGGCTGAGTTACCAGGTACTAGGATGACTGAAGGATGTGGCATCTAAATATCAGCTTCTAGGCCAGGCACAGTGGCTCATGCCTGTAATCCCAGCACTTTGGGTGAACAAATTGGGTGGATCATGAGGTCAGGAGTTCGAAACCAGCCTGGCCAACGTGATGAAACCCTGTCTCTACTACAAATACAAAAATTAGCCAGGCGTGGTGGCACATGCCTGTAATCTCAGCTACTCAGGAGGCTGAGGCAGGAGAATTGCTTGAACCCGGGAGTTGGAGGTTGCAGTGAGCTGAGATCACACCACTGCACTGCAGCCTGGGCGACAGAGCAAGACTCCATCTCAAAAAATAATACTTAAATAAATACTAGCTTCTAAATATTGGTGGTGACTACCAGACTCCCTGATCTGTCTTTGGCCATGGCAATGTCCCTGGTTCTTGAGGGGCACCCCAGAGGATAAAGAACGTGACTTCTAGCCAGGCACAGTGGCTCACCCCTGTAATCCCAGCACTTTGGGAGGCTGAGGTGGGTGGATCACGAGGTCAAGAGATCGAGAGCATCCTGGCCAATATGGTGAAATCCCATTTTCATGGTGTTAAGAGCACAGGGCTTGGAGTCAGGCAGACCTAAGTCAGAATTCCTCCTCTACCATTTTCTAGTTGCCCAACCTTGGGGAAGTGATTTTTCCTGCCTCTGAAGCTCAAGCACACTGTCTGTAAAATAGAAGAAGTATTCTTTGTCTCGTGGAGGTTTTGTGTGGATAAAACAAATGAATGTGTGCGAAGTGCTTAGCATAGAGTCTGACAAACATCCAGCCATCCACTCACCCTTTAATTCACCTTCTCCATAGTTTATTCATCTATTCATTCATTTGTCTACCATTAATTTATCCATTTATCCATCCAGCCACCCTTTAATTCATCTACCCGTTAATCTATCCATCTACCCATCCTTCAGTTCATCCACACGTTAATTTATCTATCCACCCACCCATCCTTGAGTTCATCTACCCATTAATTTATCCATCTATCCATTCATCATCCACCCACCCTTTGATGCATCCATCTATTCATTTATCCATCCATCCATCCTTTATTTGCCCATTAGTTTACCCATCTACCCATTCTTTCATTCATCCACACGTTAATTTATCCATCCAGCCACCCATGCTTTAATTCGTCTACCCATTAGTTTATCCATCCATCCATCCACCCACCCACACGTTAATTCATCCACCCATTAATTTATCCATCTATCCATCCATCCATCCACCCACATGTGAATTCATCCACCCATTAATTTATCCATCTATCCATCCATCCACCCACACGTGAATTCATCCACCCATTAATTTATCCATCTATCCATCCACCTACCAATCCTTTAGTTTATCTATACATTAGTTTACGCATCCACCTATCCTTAATTCATCCACACATGAATTTATTTACCCACCCACCCATGCTTTAATTGATCTCTCCATTAATTTATCCATCCACCCATTCTTTAAGTCATCTATCCATTAATTTATCCATCTACCCATTCATTCACCCACACTCGAATTCATTTATCCATTAATTTATCCATCTACCCATCCTTTAATTCATCCACACATTAATTTGTCTACACACCCACCCATGCTTTATCTCTCCATTCATTTACCCATCTACTCATTCTTCAGTTCATCTACCCATTAATTTATCCATCTATCCATCCATCTACCAATCCTTCAGTTTATCTACACATTAGTTTATGCATCCATCTATCCTTAATTCATCCACACATGAATTTATTTATCCACCCACCCATGCTTTAACTGATATCTCCATTAATTTATCCACCCACCCATGCTTTAATTTATCTCTCCATTAATTTACCCATCTACTCATTCTTCAGTTCATCTACCCATTAATTTATTCATCTATCCACCCACCTACCCTTTAATTATCCATTAATTTATTCACCTACCTATTGTTTAATTCATGCACACATTAATTTCTCCATCCTTCCACCCGTCCTTTTTTTTATTCACATCAGAGGACACTCCAGTGCTACCACCCATCCTATAATTCACTCATCTATTACTTTATCCATTCATCCAGCCACCATTAGTTCATCCATCCATCCATTCACCTATTGAACTCTCTGTTGAAGCATCCATCTATCCATCCTTTAATTCACCCATCCAATAGTTTATGCAACAGTTCCTTCTTTCGTCTATTATCTACCTTTTTATCCACCTATTCATTCATTGATGTATCCATCCATTGAACCATCCATTGAACTATCCATTCCTCTATCTACTTATCTCTCCCTGTATCCATCCATCCTGATATCAATTTTCATCATTTATCATTTATTATTTTTTCATTCTTCCATCTATTATCTATCACCTTACCCTACACCCATCCATCCATCCATCTGCTCACATTTAGCCATTCATTTGTCTATTCATTTATCCATCCAAGTCATTCAACCATCCTTTCATTCATCTACTTTTCAACTACTCATTCATTCACCCATTCAACACAAATACATATGTTGGGCTCCTACTATTTATCAGACGCTAGCCTCTGGGGATCGAAGACAGCAAAGACATGTAACATCCTTGCCCTAATGAAGGATATTGATATTAAACACACACACACACACAGCACTTCAGATAAAACACAATAATATTCCGGAAGATGGTGGTTGTGGGAGCACCCCTGTCACATGGGGGGCCAGGGGAGTGCACTTTGCATGAACTGTCAATGACAGGAGGAAACCAACTGTACCAAAAGCCAGGGCAAAGCCATCTGGGGAAAAGGGAATGGCAGGTGTGAAACCCCTGGAATGGGAATGAGCTTGCAAGCTGGAGAAACAGAAATGGCTGTTGGCCAGGCTCAGTGGCTCATGCCTGTAATCCCAGCACTTTGGGAGGCTGAGGAGGGAGGATTGCTTGAGCCCAGGAGTTCGAGACCAGCATGGGCAACATAGCAAAACTCCCTCTCCATGAAATATTTTTTAAAAATGAGTTGGGTGTAGTGGCATGAGCCTGTAGTCCCAGCTACTTGGGAGGCTGCGGTGGAGGATGGCTTGAGTTCCGGAAGTGGAGGTTGTACCACTGCATTCCAGCCTGGACACATGGAAAGATGTTCTTAACCTGCGGCCTTGGATGGGTTTCCACATTCACAGGCCACCTGACATTGTCTGTGAAAAATAGGTGTTTAGACAGACAACCTGGGCCCCTAGAGCATATCACTAGACAGATGAGAATACTCTCATTTTATAGATGTGGCTCAGAGAGGGCAAGTGATTGCCTAAGGCCACACAGCATGGACGTGAACCCAGTCTGTTCTTCCCCAAAGCTCTTTACACTGCAGTGAGTCAGTGGTAGGATTGAACCTGGATCCCTGGTCACCTTCTTCCTTTCTTGCTCTAGAAACCAGAGGTATTTCACTTGTGCCCCAAGAGATGGATCACAGTGGTAGGGAGACGTGGGGTTGGGGATTTCTATAAACTTATAAAATCATCTGCAAAATGTTGTATGTCTTGGTGTATTTGGGGGAGAGGAGCTGCGATTCTGTGAGATCACCTAAAGAGGCGTTTGACTGCCCAAAGAGTTGAGAACCCCCAAAATCTTCTTGGGGAGGGTGGCCTGGCACAGTGGCTCATGCCTGTAATTCCAGCACTTTGGCAGGCTGAGGCGAGTGGATCACCTGAGCTAATGAGTTCCGAGACCAGCCTGGGCAACACGGTGAAGCTCTGTCTCTACTAAAATACAAAAAATTAACTGGGTGTGGTGTCACATACCTGTGGTCCCAGCTACCTGGGAGACTGAGGCAGGAGAATCACTTGAACCCAGTTGGCAGAGGTTGCAGTGAGCGAAGATTGCACCACTGCACTCCAAACTGGGAGACAGAATAAAAATTTGTCTCAAAAAAAAAAAAAAAAAAAAAAAGACTGGGTGTGGTGGCTCATGCCTGTAATCCCAGCACTTTGGGAGGTCAAAGTGGACAGGCCACCTGAGGTCAAGAGTTTGAGATGAGCCTGGCCAACATGGTGAAACACTGTCTCTACTAAAAATACAAAAAATTAGCCAGGTGTGGTGGTGTGTGCCTGTAATCTCAGCTATTCAGGAGGCTGAGGCAGGAGAATCACTTGAAGATTGCAGTGAGCCAAGATCTTACCATTGCATTCAGCCTGGGTGACAAGAGCAAAACTCTGAAAAAAAAAAAAAAAAGGGGGCTCCAGGCACACATAAAGATGCTCAGTATCATTGGTGGTTATTAGAGACAGGAAAATCACTGGTCAGGTGTAGTGGCTGACACCTGTAATCACAGTACTTTGGGAGGCTGAGGCAGGTGGATCACAAGGTCAGGAACTGGAGACCAGCCTGGCCAACATAGTAAAATGTCTCTACTAAAAATACAAAAATTAGCCGGGTGTGGTGGTGGGTGCCTGTAATCCCAGCTACTCGGGAGGCTGAGGCAGGAGAATCGCTTGAACTTGGGAGGCGGAGGTTGCAGTGAGCCGAGATCGTGCCACTGCACTCCAGCCTGGGCCACAGAGCCAGACTCTGTCTCAAAAATATATATACTTATATATGTATATTGCAATAGGTGGCTGTGTGTGTACTTCTGTGATGGGCAGCAAACTGGGAGGTTACAGGGAACAAGCTGGAGGCCAAAGGGGGTTCCAAAAAATATCCTAAAGAGGGCTGGAACATCTTCCAAGAGAAATAAAAAGAAACACTCAATGTTGTCCCCTTGGGTGCAAATAAACTGAACCACCAGAGGGCGGTAGAGACTTAATGTATTCCCAGTAACAATTCGGTTATGGACCAAAGCAAGACCAGAACATCCAAAACGTTAATTCCTTTGGAGTTCAAGACCAGCCTGGGCAACACCAGGAGACTCCATCTCTACAGAAAATTTAAAAGTTAGCTGGATATGGTGGCGCATGCCTGTGGTCTCAGCTAGCGGGGAGGCTGAGGTGGGAGGATCGCTTGAGCCAGGGAGGTTGAGGCTGCAGTGAGCTGAGACTGTGCTACTGCACTCCAGCCTGGGTGACAGTGAGACTCTGACTTTTAAAATGTAAAAGATGGAAGGGTGCACATCCAGTTTGTCATATATCCGTGTTGCATAATGTGTATCCATTCCATGAATAATATACTTTGTATCTGTTAAGCAGTTCCTCATCACTTGCTCTCCTTTCACCCCTGCCCACCAAATGCCTATCATTTCACACTCTACGTCCATGTGTACACATTATTGTGATCCCAGTTATAAGTGAGAACATGCAGCATTTGACTTTTTCGCTGTCATCCATCTCCAGAACTTTCTCATCTTCGCAGCCCAAAACTGTCCCCATGAAACCCGCACTCCCCAGCACCCT